AATGTGGTGTAAAATGCAGAGTAGTTAATGAACAGCTCTTGTTGATGACAAACTTTTGATTCAAGGAGGACTTGGTTGGAGCAGAGTTTGTCACTTGTCAATTGGACAGGGCAGGAAATAAGAGAAAAGGTACATTTATTAAATGAACATCAAAGTTATTTCAATACAAATCTTCGCCATTTCATATGCTTTGTGTACCTGGCGCTATGGCAGCTATGGATTTACCTACTCCTCTCGAGTTCGAAGGTTTGAGGTTAGAGCCCTGGCCACACCAACTTTTTGTTTGGCCTTTTTATTTTTCTCTTTATATCTTCCCTTTTTTTATTTCACTTTAAGGCAAGATTTCCATAAAACTCCATACATTAATTATGCATAGAGTGTTACAAAGAAACCTTTACATGTATTTGGTATTTATGAAATAGAATGCACAATTAACGTATGGGATTATATGGAAATCTTTCCCGATTTAACATTTTCTTCAAAATGATACGTTAGATATGTCCAGAGTAAACAGACAGGTACGAACGTTTGACTGCGTTGGTAGCTCTTACGTTCAAATCGATAACACTGTCGAAATGCCCTGAGAAAAAATTTAACTAAACTCGGAAAAAAAAAAAAATAAACCTAAGACATCAATCAAATTCGTTAAACCATGGCCAGTGTCGGAACTGGACCAGGCCGAGTCACAAGAGATGTTAGATGTGTTTCACGCTAGTTCGCCACTTTCTAAGCCGCGAGGGTCTGGGGGGGAAGGTTTACGGATTTACGGATTTACCCCAAAGCATATTGCCTATCCCCCCCTCCCCCCCACGGTAATAAATTATGATTGGTCCCATATTTGCTAATTTCAGCCCTGGTATTCCTACTAGAAATGATCGTTATGAAAAGAGCAGGGAAAAAATTCTTGTTGTTCACTCAGGTAAATTTCTTTGTCACTTTCTCGTTTGACTGAACACGGCCAATAGAACAGTTACAAGAGAAGAAAGAGTTCGCCTCAAGCTGATCGGATTTCAACTGAAAGGATTGTTTCATTCCTAGCCTGACCATTCCCTCCCAGGAAACACTTATTTGTAATGGTCAGCAGCTCTGTATCTTTTAGCATACAGTTTGGTCACAATTGTCCCTCGAATTGACCATAAATATCATATTTATTCCAACGAAGAGTACACGAGGTTAGCGTACTATTTACACTTTTAGTTTTTGTCTTAAGCCGGAGCACATCTAAAAAAAGAAAAGGCATTTAGTTTCACGTGGGCCTCCTCCATTGCGATCATTCGCCAAGACTATTCGTCTAGTTGTCAGTATCGAACTACGACCTGGCCCTCGAGAACAACCTATCTGCACCACCAAGACTTTTCTTACAGGAACAAACATTTGGCTTTTCATATTGAACCACTCCTGGGTTACGGCTAAAAATATTCTCTTGAAAATTCCTTTTTTTTAAATTTTCTACAAATTCTAGATGATGAGAAAATCGTTAAGAAACCACACAACATTTTCTCTGTTCATGATCCCTCTCAACATTAAGTTCATGATGTTCTATGCCGTTTTGTAGATCATCTAAGGAACGTTGTACTTCACACAACTCAAGGCGAGTACGCTCTACGACAGAATGCTCGGGACCAAGCTTTTTCGACCTAATGTCCAGAGCACGTTCGTAAAACTCCTTGGCTAGTTCCAAGTCGCCCAGGTTACGATGTACATTACCCAAGCTATGGTAAGAAAACGCCACATAAACATGGTCATGTTCAAGATTCTTCAATTGTATGTCTTTGGCACGTTCGTATAACTCCTTGGCCTCTTGCATGTTATTCAACTCAAATTGCACGTTACCTAAATGGTGGTATGAATTCGCCATATCGACATGCTCGGGCTCAAGATTTTTCCGGTTTACAGCTAAAGCTTTTTCGTGACATTCCTTGGCCTGTTGCAAATCACCCAATCGACGGTGAACTTCACCCAATTTATGGTAAGTAGGTGCGACATCGACATGCTCTGGTCCAAGCTTTTTCAGCTTAATGTTTAAAGCAATTTCAAAGCACTCCTTGGCCTGCTCCAGTTCACACAATTCACGGTGGATACCACCCAAGTTAGAGTAAGTGAGCGCGACATCATCATGTTCGGGTCCAAGCTTTCTCAACTCAATCTTTAAAGCACGTTCACAATACTCCTTTGCCTGTCGCAGGTTACCCAAGTCACGCTGTACATTTGCCAAGCCAAAGAAAGTACGCGAGACGTTGACATGATCGGGTCCAAGCTTTTTCAACCAAATGTTTAGAGCACACTCGTAAGACTCATTNCCCGTCAATGCAAGTATCCACCCTCCTGTTCATTTGTCGTCTTCTTTGGAGCGACACGATGGAAACTTCAAGGAGAAATCTAGCGTCACGACATAGTGATAACGTATATGTTTATACATATGGTGCACGATCCTCGCAGTAGATAGCGCTATTTAAGCAATAGCGAAAATCAGACCTGAAAAAAATCAGGCCTGTACGGGATTCGAATCCCGTACAGTGGTTCGAATCCCGTACAGGCCTGATTTTTTTCAGGTCTGATTTTCGCTATTGCTTAAATAGCGCTATCTACTGCGAGGATCGTGCACCATATGTATAAACATATACGTTATCACTATGTCGTGACGCTAGATTTCTCCTTGAAGTTTCCATCGTGTCGCTCCAAAGAAGACGACAAATGAACAGGAGGGTGGATACTTGCATTGACGAGATCATTTTCGAAGCTATTTCGTAGAGAAAAGTCTCATTTAAAACGAAAAGAAAATACCAAATTGGGTTCGCAACGTGCTGCAGGTAACTCAAAACCGCGGATCGTTTACTAGACCTAATTACTCAATTACGAGTATGACGAATATTAAAATTTCCGGGTCAATTTAAAAGTATTTTAATTATATGTACAGAGCACATTCAAATTCCGTTGGCCTATTGCACCCAGGTCACGCTGCACATGAATCACGGTAACTAATCAGGATATTTACATACTAACAAACACAGGCCTAAAGTTTTTCAACTCAATTTATGGCTTTATGTGAAACTCGTTAGTTGGCCGAAGATCTCTCAAGTTACGCAATGTTTTACTCACATGCTATACGTGTAGTTATTTTTAGCGCGGTCGGGTCCACTGGTCCTACTGCACAGAGCACTTTTCTTTTTTCTCCAATTTTTTTTGAGCAGAAACCAAGCTACGCTCACAATGCACAGTTTCTGCATGCTCGGGTCCAAACTTCTCCTTATCAATCGTTAAGGCACGTTCATACAGCTCTTTGGCTAGTGTCAAATCACTCCCGGCACGGCATACATCACCCAAGTTACTGCAGCTAGACGCTACCTCGACGCAGTCTTGTCCAAGCTTTACCGTGTAAATGTCTAATGCACGCTTCAAATGCTCGCTGGCTTGTTGAAGGTCACCAAATTCATAGGCTATTTTGCCTAATTTTTGGTTAGTGACTGCAACATCTATGTGGTCAGATCCATGCCTTTTTTCGTAAATGCCTAGAGCACGTTTATAATGTTCTTGGGCTTGTTGCAGGTCACCTAACTCATAATGTACCTTGCCAAGGTTTTGGTTGGTACGCGCAACATCAACATGGTCGGGTCCAAGCCTTCTCTTGTAAATGCCTAAAGAACGTTCATAATTTTGTTTGGCTTGTTCAAGGTCACGCATATCACACAGTAAATCACTCAAGTTGTCACAGGTACGAGCGACAGCAATATGCTCAGTTCCAAGGCTTTTCAGCTTAATCTGTAACGCTTTGATACAAAGCTCCTTAGCATATAGCAGGTCACCCTGTGGCATGGCACGCTGTAACTTTCCCAAGTTTTCATAACAAATGGCAACTTCAACATGGTCAGGTCCAAGCCTTTTCTTGAAAATGTCTTGTGCACGGCTATAAAACTCTTTGGCCAGTCGTAAATCACCTAACTCATAGTGTAAAGTGGCGATATTTTGGAAAGTCTGCGCGACACTGGCATGCTCAGTTCCAAGCTCTGTCTCGAAAATGTCGAGAGCATCATAAAGATGCTTCTTAGCCTGTTGCAGGTTACCAAACTCACGCTGTACAATACCTAGGTCTAGGTAAGTCTGTGCGACTTTGACATGCTCAGTTCCAAGCTCTGTCTCGAAAATGTTGAGAGCACGATCGAAATACTCCTTAGCCTGATCCAGGTTACCAGATTCGCGCTGTACAATACCTTGGCTTAGGTAAGTCTGTGCAACATCGACATGCTCAGTTCCTAGCTCTGTCATGAAATTTTCGAGAGAAAGATCAAGCCACTCCTTGGCCTGTTGCAGGTTACCTAACTCTCTCTGTACAATACCTAGCTCTCGGTAAGTCTGTGCGATATTGACATGCTTACTTCCAGACTCTGTCTTGAAAATGTTGAGGGCAAGATCAAGATACTCCTTGGCCTGTTGCAGGTTACCAAACTCACGCTGTACAGTACCTAAGCTTAGGTAAGTCTGTGCGACATCAACATGCTCACCTCCAAGCTCTGTTTTGAAAATGTCGATAGCACGATTTAGGGACACCATGGCTTGTTGCAGGTTACCCAATTCAACCTGTACAATACCTAGGTTTAGGTACGCATGTGCGACATCAACAGGGTCAGGTCCACATGTCTTCCCGTAAATTGCAACAGCATGATGAAAATGTGTCAAAGCCTGCCTTAGGTTACCCATTTTATGCTGTGCAATACCCAGGTTGTAAGAAATGGACGCGACATGAACATGATCAGTTCCATACGTTTTCTTGTAAATGTTTAGGGCAAGTTTAAAGTGCTTACTGGCCTGTTTCAAGTCAACCAATTCAAGTAGTGCATCACCCAGGTTACGATGACTGGTAGCAACATTAATATTTTCGGGTCCAAGCTTTTCCACGTAAATGGTTATGGAGCGTTCAAAGTATTCTATGGCTTTCTTTAGGTCACCCTTGGACCGTCGCAAACTACCTAATCTTTGGTAAATTCTTGCACTATTTGCAATAGTGTCACTGATCGGTTCAACGAGTTTCAAAGCTGTGTAATAGTAACGCTCAGCAAAAGATAACTCGCAGTGATTCTCGCAAATTATGCCGAACCGGAGGAAACATGATGACCAATCTAAAGCATTTAAAACGCCTTCTCTGAAAGTTGGACATTCCTCTTCAAAACCAAAAACATGTTCAACCTTTTTGGCCAAAGCTTTGAAGTGTGCAATGAGGTGCTTGGTGTTGGCAATAGAGTCAATGTCATGCCAAGTGTCTAATGACCGTATTTCTACGAACTCGTTGAATGATCTCACGGCAGCGTGAATTATTTGAGTGTATCCTTGAGGCTCCTCGTTACTCCTTACAGTTCTAATGGCGTCCCACACAACTCGGTGCATACTGATGAAAACTCCATTCTCTCTTTCTTCGAACAACAACAGTGAGTAGCCCTGGACATGAATGGCGACAACGTCTTTGTCAACATGCTCATCTACATTCAAAATGTAATTCTTAAGGATGTCGAGATGCAATGCTTGAGGAGCGCAAAGGGAAAGAAGACTAAATGAATGCTGCACTATGCTGTCGCTGTCTATCGCTCTTTCAACGGCTAGCCTTGTTGCTACCGTCATGGATTTGCTGTAGGCAGGGTTGGTCTTTGTTAGCACCTCCTCAGTTAAGGCTCGCATTCCATTTTCTAGTTTTTCTAAATACTCCTTCCAGCCGAAGTTCGCCGCCAAATTACACTCACGGGTCTTTCTGACATAATTTCCAGCGCTAGCCAAGGCAAGGGGTTGGTAGTCTAATGCTTTTGCAACTTCATCTTCCATTTTACGGTCCTCGAAACCTGCAATATTTGCCAGAAAACGCCGTGCTTCGATTGGTTTCATACCCTGACTGATGGAAAAGTGAGAAATAAACGAACACGTAGGAGGGATAGACAAAGTATCCTGTGTCGTGATGAGTACCTGCCCCTGGCTCCATTGCTCATTTCCTGATTGAGGAATAAGTTTAAGTGTATCAGAGACATTTGTCGCGTTGTCTACCACCAAAAGCCATGATGCATAAAGGTGAAGTTTTGTTGTAATTAAATCTTTAAGATTCTTGATTTTTTCTGTAATGCTTGTCTCCTTGGACCTGCGAGTGTTCCCAACGTCGTATTCAGGACACTTTACCTGTCGCACAAGTGTTACGTAGGATTCCAAGAGCGTTTGTAAGCTTTCAGCATTCAAAGTCATCACAAACGAGGGGGAACTGATTTCTGAGATGTCTTTCTTGTAGAATTTCTCGGCTACTAGACCGGCCAGCTGAGACTTGCCACTACCGGGATTACCAGTGATGTATAGGTAGCTTAGACGATCCTCGTTTGCTTTCTTTAGTTGGTCTAGCTCTTCTATCACTTCGGCAACCTCACCATCCCGAGTTGCAATTTCGTGGTTTGGTTTTGGTGGAAGAATGAAGAATGGGGAGACAACATCTTTTAACTGATCTTCAAGGGCCCCTCGCTGTTCTTCTAAAATTTCAAGTCGTTCTTCAGCCATTTCCAGTTGTTTTTCACACAGTTGGTGATCTTTTTCCAGTTTTTCCAATTCGGCTTTTGTTTCTTCGAGTTCTTTGTGAAGGTCGTGACTTTTCTTCTTTAGACTTTCAATTTCCTCAGTCTGGAAAATTTTCTGTCTACTGATTTCCAGAACCTGTTCAGTAGAGAGACCGAGTGACTGAAATGCAACCTTCACCCTATGAGCTGCAAGTTTAAACTCTAATTCAGACAGCCTACCCCAGGGCATGTGAGCAAACTTTTCGTTGCGCAACTCTCTAAGATCATCGACATACCATTTAGCCTTTTCGTCTAATCCTTTACCGATAGAGTCAGAATAAAGGATTGCAAAGAATAGCGTTGTACAATCCCATTCCGCTCCCCTTCCCTCTTTTACAGTTTTCAATAATCGAGCATTTTGTGTTCGGCTATGGGGAGGTTCGTTGTTGTAGAAGTCCGATCCATTTCGAGGGGTATCTTTCCATTCTCCCAGAGTTGCCTGGTAATGGCTGTCCCACTGTTTTTTGAAAAAGAGTCGCAGCTCCTGCGGCAGTATATTCGTGGCAATATGACAAACTCTGAAGTAGTTGAGCTGCTCCTTGGTGTAAATTGGGCTGTCCATCGTTACTTTGTCGTCAGTTTGCTTTGAGCTTGTAAACCCTGTTCGGAAGCGAGGTAGAAGCTTTTTCAGTTGTATCAGGTTTTGTATGAGCAAAAAAAATTATATAACCCTAAAGTCCGCCCAAACTCTGGAAAACAAACAACTGCCTATATGGCAAATATTGTATGAGAAAATTCCCAGTAGACTTAGAAAACCTAACCGTCTTCAATTTCTCAAAAAAAATTAGAAATTTATGCAATGTCAGAGCAACACTCAGAACAATGTGCTAGTATCTAACATTCCTTCTGTATGGCTGTTATCAATATCATTATTATTATTATTATTATTATTATTATTATTATTATCATTACTATTATTATTATTTGATCAGTAGAGATTTGCTGAAGCAAAGACATATAAAATACCAGGAAAGATTTATTGCTGCTCGACGTTTCGGAATCATCATGACTCCATTGTCAAGAGACTAGTTAAATGGCATGCAACTAAGGAAAGGTACAAGATAAGCATAAATTACAATAAACGGCCTAAACAAACACCTTGGCGCGGATGGAATCTGTTTGCACGATCAGTGTTGGTTTTACGCATGCGAGTATATAACATTTTTTTAACGAGGCAATCAAATTTGCTGCTACATTTCGTGATGATGTAAAATTGCTCAATGAAGCGTTCGGGCATTTCACTATTATGTTGGAGGTTATAATGTTTGTAAATCGAAGATGACTTTCTAGTGTGCCCTTCTACGCGCTCGTATAAGTGACCACGTGTATAACCCACATGCCCTGCATCACACAGATTACATTTAAATTCATATACGAGACATTATAGGTTGACAATAGGGGCTTAATCTCGTGTCGCTTAAGTTGTTGCTCGAGCTTAGGGCTTGCAAACACTGGTTGAACAGTTACGTTCAACTTGGAACGTAAGATCTGAAGACTTGTCCTTGAGGGGTAACACTACTCTCACAGTCTCCGATGGTACATCAGGTGATTGGCAGGGCTCTTGAGATGAAATCCTTAGCTCAACAAACCGCTTGATTGTAGATTCAACCAGTGGCTTGGGGTATTTCAAGTTATGAAAAACCCTTCTAAGTCGGTCACATTCCTCCGAGAAGAATAACCAGTTAGAAGATAATCGATAAGCGCGGTCCACCATGGTCTCTTGAAAATGGAGTCATGATGATTCCGAAACGTCGAGCAGCTATAAATCTTTCCTGGCCTTTTACATTATTATTATTATTATTATTATTATTATTATTATTATTATTATTATTTTTATTATTATCATCATTATGCGGCAGTGTATATGTCTAGATGCCCAGTATAAAAACAAAACTAAAGCTGTGGCTGGGCGATAAGCCGTGGCCAGCCACAGCGTCGACTAGGATCCATATATACAATTAGAAATATGAATGAGTAAAAATAAGTAAAAGAATTTGTAAATACTTTGAACATCCTAGTGTTCAGTAATGTTCTATGTAAGTCAATTCCACTGATCATATGCAATATCTAGTGACTCAGCTTAAATATTCTTGCAATATGAAGTGAACTTGTCAGGATGGACTCTGATCTGTCCCACGATAGATGTACATCAATGTTAGGTTGATTCTATTGCAACATTTTGACATGAGGGAAGATACCCTCATGATTTACACGAGAGAAAATACTCCGACGCTCGAATTGGTGTAAATATATCCCTTTGCTGTGATCTATATGATGGAGATACATACCCTAATGCAGCGATCTGATTGGTACGAGCAACATAACTTTCTGTAAACTGACAAACAGATTTTTTTATACATTTCCACAGTTTAATTTTTTCTGGGATTACAATGCCCGTGGAACGCTTCTAACACCTTTCGTTAAGGTTCTTTCCGACGCGGGAATTAAAAAAAACAACACTCAAAAACAAAATGGGTCAAAATTACCATGGACAAAAGCTTAAATTGATAAATTCATTTGTTTATTTTCTTATCATTAATTAATTAAAACTGAGTTAGAGACCTTTCCAGTTCCAAGGTTTCATGGTTTTTCCTCGTTCTGCCAGTTATTTTTCATGACCAGCAGTGGACAACGAAGCAAGGGATGATAGTTTTTTAAATGACTCAAAAAAAATTATCATTGTACAAAACAAACTTGTTATTTTAACCCTTTTAACTCGCAGAAGTAATTAACATGTGACTTCTCCCTTTGGTATCCACACCTAATCCAGCGAACAGGTAATGTGAACTACACAAACTTCACAGGTAGGGGTGGTTATCCTGATCTAACACCAAATTCTCGGGACTTATTCACAGCGAAATGTGTAATAGCTAGATGGGGGAGTCAACAACCAGATCTGGGGAGTTAAAGGTTGACTGCATAGGGTTTCTGTAAAAACCCATGCTAAAATTTGCACTTTTTGAATAAATTCCACTATAACAAGTTTTAATTAGAATCTTGAAAGTACCCTTCATTATCTCTGTCTTCTGTTTGCATCTATCCAATTGCGCTTGACCTTCAGAACTTACGAGGTATGACTGACAGTTCAAAGTATCTCGAGTTAACAAGAACAGAAATCAAACTTACGTTTGCCATTCACTTAAAACCGCATTTTCAATGAACAGTTGAACCTTGAATATTGGAACTTAAGAGGACTGGAAGAAAATTTCGGATAATCGAGAGTCCGGATAATCAAGAGTCTGAATAAACGAAAATGTGAATACCAGTGAGCCAAAATAAAAAAAAATTGAATAAAAGCATAAAAGCACATTCTCAAACCACTGTCCATAAACTGTTAACATTTGGCAAAATTATTTACAAGAGGTTGTAAAAGCTAACCAATGTTTTACATCAACCTGAAATACTGGTGTAACTCAGTTTGTTTCAAACTGCTATAGCATTTGTGCTTTGCTAGTTCCATCACTGTTTGAAGCTGCCAAGTTAGTTGAATACGGTCAATATTGTTTTGCTCAACAGACCATTTTAAACACTTCTAGAACATTAAACAGCTTCAAAAAGCGGAACAAATTTAGTTTGAAGGGAGTTTTATTATATAGATACTGATGAAATACCAGGATTTCTCCTTTTACTAAAAAATCATATCTTCACCGCGCGCAGTGAAGATACTATTTTTATCTTTCACGTATGAGGATATTGGTGTGGCCATGGTTACCAACATAATTACCCAATTGCTGTTTCGAAAATGAATAAAAAAATTTGTCTTTTATGTGGGAATTTCATCAGTATCTATATAATAAACAGAAAATTACATGGCCGCTTGGGGATACGAATTTTATCTTCTCGTGCTGAAAGTGTCTCTCACTTGTTCGCTGCGCTCACTCGTGAGAGATACTCTCAGCACTCGAAGATAAGATTCGTATCCCCAAGCGGCCATGTACTATCCTCTATTTATCACATGCTTCTTAAATATGATTTACTACCAATAAAAAAGAGTGGAACCTGAGAGAGGCAAGTCCGGATAATGAATTCAATCTTTTAATCCGCCTTATTGCATTAGGTAATACTGACCACTTTGAAATTGTGGCCTCATTTTCCCCTGAATTACATGCAAGGTGCAGTAGTGACAGCCAAAAAATTGTACGATTCCCTATCAACCTGAGGGCTAGCTATTGCAAAAATAAAGATAACTTGCAGGAGAGGAAAATTTGCTGAAATCCGTGACCCTTTGGCTTCATTATATCTTAAACCCTTCTGGATATCATAAGGTATCTCTTTTTGTTCATACACAAGGGTAAAAAGGGTAAATTTAAAAATGAAATGTCCTTTTCTTTTAGGAGAAAGAAAGAGGAGAATGTTACCTGGCTGCAGTAACCAGGATCCTAAAACAGCCAAAGTTGCATCTGCGGACATGGCAGGCTATTGTAAGACATATTTTTCAGGAATTAGTTTAAAAGAATAAGCTACTTCTGCTCATTTAAGAAGCTTGATGTATATTTTTCCAGTTTTTTCTTTTTTTATTATGGTATTGCCAAAGAGACGAGGGTGACTTTAAAGTTTTGCCTTAATATTTTTATTCTACTTTAAGTAGATAAAAAGAGTTTAAATTACATCATTTTATTGCATGGAAATTTGTCAGTGCAAACTTGATATAAAAAATGAAAAAAAACCCTGATGTCACTGACAAAAGAGGCTTGTTGTGAGTCTAGTTTATGAAGTCAGTGTACATAAGACCTATTCTTTATCATCTTTGTTTGCTTTGGTTTTAAGTGCTATGAAATTGGAATTATATTGTTCATTTCCCATATGTGATTGGTTAATCTTGTTTGAGAAACCCGGTAAGGACAAGTGCAACTCTGAAAGTCAATTCTTTTTTAGTAAAACAAGGCTCACCAACAGATGACGAATTAGAAGAATTTGGCAACAGAATTTCAGGAATGTGGAAGATAATTGGGCGTCGACTGGGGTTCGAGGATCCAGAACTACAGGATATAGAACAAAGATACGGGAAGCTGTGTGAGAGGGGATACCACATGTTAATGGACTGGAAACAGGAGCATGGTTCTGTGGCAACTTACGAAACTTTGAATGCGGCATTACAGCATAAATTCGTGCAGCGTAAAGACTTGGCAGAAAAAACTTGTTATAAGAATGGTAATTATTTTTTTATCAATATTAGTTAATTAAAAGTAATTGCTATTGAATTATTCCATGACGGTGAAACCTGTACTAAACAAACTCCATATTGAGGGGGTTTATCTTATACCAGGAGTTTGATAGTTTGATATAATTTATCATGATGATATCGGAATACCATGATAACATCATAACATCGATATCAATATCATAATCCCAAATGTTTGCCACGATCTGAATATGTGGAAAGAAAATCAACTGTATACTATACATACATACATACATACATACATACATACATACATACATACTTTATTGACTTTCCCAAGGGGGCTTTTCAAAGACAATGTTATAAAAATAATCCTATTACAATTAAAAAATCCTATTTACAATTAAAGATGTTTTAAAATCTGAATGTTCTAAAAGAAAAATAAAAGTATACAAATAAAATTACAACTCTTTGAGTAATTTGGTCCTTAAACGTTTTTTAAAAACATTAACGGAGTTGCACAGTTTAGAGGAATTATCCAAAGAGTTCCATAAGTTTACAGTTCTATAGAAAAATGTTCTCTGACCGCTAGCTGTTCTAAAGAATGGAATTTGCAAAAGCTGCGAATTTCTGGTGCTACGTCGACTAACCTCGGCTCGCTTTATGAATTTTGATGAGAGGTAATCTGGAGCCTGACCAGTCATGCATCTAAAGGCCATAGTAGCGTTCCGGTAGTAAAGCTGGCTTTGAACTGAAAGCCAATTTAGTTCCTTGCGAATTGGTGTANTGTAGCTTGTTAACATTACATTTTGAGGTATTTGACCAAACATTGGAACAATAAAACAACCTGCTGAAAACTAAGGAATTAATAATCATCAAAGTGTACGTTTGTCGAAAACATGCTTGACATACATGCTTGACTACGACCAGTTTTCGCAAGTAGGAAAATCCCGGACGATTTATAAGTCAAGGAAACAAAGCCCTCTCTAGTTAACCAACAATGCGTTGTGTGTGAATTTGAATGAAATTTGTGCGATGCAAAATATGCGGGCTACACGAACCACCACCTCCACCTTTGAATTGAGGAGAAGGAGGAACATAATCAAAGACCGAACATTATCTTCACAAGCAGTTTGCCATCTTAAAGAAATGCCATGGAAAGTGTGAGCGCTTTATTTATGAGATGCTTTTAATAAGGAAAAAGAGACTATGAATACTCAAAAAGACTCCATTCCAGCCAAACTGTTCAATTAATTATGTACATTCTTTTGTTTGACTCCATCTCATTTTATTCTAATATGGTTTCATGCTTTCCTTTCCTAATATAACGTCACTGATTATCACATTATGAAATATTGTCCCAAATCTTTCGTTATCATGATGATATCAAATCATGAATATCAATACCAATATCTGATGATTTTTGGATATTATCATGATATATCAAAATATCAAACCCTTGGACACTTATATCAGATCCTAGCAAACATTTTAGATTATGATATTGATATAGATATTGATATTTTGATAATATCATGATATTCTGATATTATTATGACAACATGATTTTCTGATATGGGAAAAACAAAATATTGTAGACACTCTTCAAAACTAAGATATCAATATGATATCCACGCTTAAAGAACCGCCTCCCGGTTAGCTCAATTGGTAGAGCGCCGGACTGTTATGCGGGAGGTCGTGAGTTCAAATCCGGCCGGACCAACACACAGGGTCTTTAAGTAACTGAGAAGAAAGTGCTGCCTTTGTAATAATATCTGCAAATGGTTAGACTTTCTAGTCTTCTCGGATAGGGACGATAAATGGAGGCGGCCCCGTCTCACAAGCCCTTGTATATGATAAAAAAATTTGTGGGACGTTAAAGAACCCACACACTGTTCGAAAAGAGTAGGGTACGTAGTGCCCGGTGTTGCGGTCTATCTTTGTGTAGTGTCTATCAAATTGATGGGGGGTAATGTGCCTTTGAATATTGTATAGAAAGGGCGCGATGTAAATAAGGAATTCATTCTTTCATTCATTCATTAATAGAGAACGAGGCAGTACACGGTTGTAGATGTGGCATTCTCTGCATTTTATTCTCTGCATTTAGCATTCTCTGCATTTTATTGTTTCATTGTTTTTCTCGTTGCCATGTTCCCACCAATAACGTAGCTCCATTTTCTGCCTTTTAAAGCACACACAACCCACAATTCCTCTATTCGCTCCGACGAAGGGCTAACGCTCGAAACGTCAGCTTTTGTAATCGTTACGGTGGCCAATTTACCATTTCAACTTTGTTGATATATCCAAATTATCCTGTATTATTCTTTGTTTGAGAATTATGTACGAATAATTTATCTTGGAAAAAAGGTTAAAACAGAGAAAAAAGTAGTTTTACATCATTTTCAATTGATACAAATTACATGTATTTACACTGTAAATGTGAGACACATCACACTTAAAAGATATTTTTATATTTTTTTAAATCGTTTTCATATTAAGATCACTGAGAATTTTGAACAACATGTGGCAAAATTAACGAGCAATATGTGGTCATAATTTTCATAGCAGCAAAATTTAGTTTCTATCTATTCATTGCAGCTCTATATGTTTGATGTTGCTATGCCTAAATCATATTTTATTGGCCAAATAGCAGAGAGATGAAAAAACAACAACAACAACGTGTAAAGTGGGATTAAATTTGACTGTTTGTTGCAATTCAACAGATGATGAATTGAAAATTAAGGTTGTGGCAGAACACTTGAGACCTAAAAAACCCAATATGAAGACTACAACCTTAGCAACAGAGTCTGGAGGATGCCAAGAGGTTCAAGACCAGAGGGCATCTGCTACATTGCCTACAGAAGGAAGTGTGTCTCTTTCAGGAATAGATCAAGCACTCGAACGTAGAGTCATGTGGTCAATTGCTAGGAATTACCTCCAGATCAATCCACCAAAGTCAAGTGAAGAGCTTAGTGAGTTCATGGAATATATGAGAAAAATGAGGGTCATCATCGCAGGTGTCTCTGTACAATGTTTGGTGATAACAGTGAAGTGTGAATCTATCCAAATCTTGGACGAACTGTGGGCAGAATATTCATGCGGTCATCTTGGTACGATGGTTCAAAATTGTTTTGTGACTGAAAAGATTATGAAGAAACAGAACTTAGCTGAGCTGAAGCTGATAACAACAATGGACATAGAAGAGTACAGTGCAAGGAAAGCTTACTTTGAGAGAGTTGCACTCAGAGGTTAGTCGATAGAGAGTTACAAAACAAATCTTTTCACAAAATATATGAAAATGTTTGTGGAGACAGTCCATCACTCTTTTATCGTAGAGTACCATAGGGTTTTATGATATATGTATAGTTTCTGATCAAGACAGAACTCATTGTCACATTGAACAAGAGGTTTAACGGAGCCAATATCCTGGTGGTATTTGCGGTTCAGAGGGAACAAATTGAAGGTTTTCCTGTTTTTAGAAAAATCGCTGGTTGAGTGCTTTTAATTGTTTTTTTTTTAACATGGAGAGCTATGGAGATTGAAAACAAGTTGATGTCATGACAAATTAGAAATACTACTGAAAATCGCCTAATGAAATGCGAGGACTAACATTAAGTACCACGGCAAAGTCAACAGAAAGGGAATAAGTGAAAATGAAATCTAGCTCAAGGGCCACAAAATCCAGACCAAACTTTTCAAGTGATAAAACGGAAAACATGTTCGTCAACTTGCTAGTGGTGGTCCTGTAGCATGCAAGGTTGCGTTACTAGTATGGAATCCTTCGCTCACTTTCCGACCATAAGTCTTTTGAAATGGCTTTGTCTATAACATGAAATACCAAGATTTAGTCGGTATGTTCTTGGAAACTCGAACTCTTTGATCAAAACATGCGTTGTAAACATAAACAGATAAAACGAGAAAAACAACTGCAAGAACTCTAAAAAGTCTCGAGATTTTTTCGTTCTTACTTTGTGACTTAACTCGAGTCAGTAATAAATCCAGAATGATGGTAACCATCCAACTCCGCAGAATAATAGCATTGTTTAAAGGGTTATCTCCCGCTTACATCTGATAATTAACAAACCTCTGAAGTTTTCTGCCTCGGAAAGGTAAATCACAGAGCAGATTTTATGAACCGCAAGTTTTTTGACTGGATGAAATTAAAAATCTGTAACAGTGTGACTTCCACAAATTTTTTCTGTCAGCCCTGATTTTGGTACATGGAGAAATCATGAACGTGGGGTATCTATAGAATAAGTAGATCAAATCAATCAACCTTATTAATGTGTCAAACTCTTCTAGCTGGCTGCAATCGGGGACACCTAGTTAATAAAATCTATATAAAACTTGAGGTTACATTTGACAATATCAAAAGCAGAATATTTACTTTAGAAATTTCATTAATACCATTAAAATTAACATCAAATCTGCATATAAATTAATAATAATGACAGTGTGACTATGTGACAGTGTGACTATGTGACAGTGTGACTTCCACAAATTAAATAAGATGTTTCACAAAGTAATATAGTTAATCTAAAAGTGAAGGAAAGATTAACTTAATAAGTAGAGTGTCAAGTGTTACACAGGTAACAATTTGAACATTTGTTCTCAACTATAACTGAGAATTGAAAGGTCCTTATTTCTGATTCGTGTTTTAAAGACCGATAATGAGGCTAGGGCCCTATCCTTCTTAGGCAGTTTAGACCATAAGAGTGGTGCAATGCATCTAATGGAGGTCTTGCCATATTTTACAGTATTGAACCTGGGGATGAAGAAGTCTGAATATCGTAGGTTGTAACTATTCAATGATATGCTGACGATAATATTCGAAGCTAGCAGCTTATATTTCACTTTATACATGAGGATTGCAATATCTTGCAAGCGCCTATTTTAAAGACTAGTCATCCGTGCACGTGCCAGTAAATCGCTATACGACGATTTCCAATCACAAAATACAGCTCGTAAGCCCCGTTCATTGACCCTCCCAAGTCGCTTTTTCCGATCTGAGTTTCTGATATCCCTGCTGTAGCTAAGAGTTAAACCTTGACTATTTGGACCTCAATTATCCGGGTTATTTCATTAATAATGACCAGTTTTGAAAGAAAAACAATTGAAAAAACATAGTGATGAAATGAAATGTATATTTTGACGAAAAATTAAATATTAACATCAAACAAACTCATGATTATGTAAATTTAAGTTCACGTTCAGATTAAACATTTGTTGGAAGTTCAAAAAAAGAAAATATTTATAAAGGGTGAAAAATAATATTACAACTACATGCTGTTGAAGGAATTGATATGTCTTTAAACATACTGATGTTACATAACTGGTTAAATGTAAGGCTATTTACTAAATTCCTCCACAAGGCACTAACAACTATCTTTGGATGTCATTTACCTATTGAAGCTGAAACATTGCTTGAGCCAGTACTTGCTCTAAAGGGTCTGGGTAAAGGAATATTTGAACGAAAGGCCTGGAACAAAGGAAACACACGTTGTCAGCTTATAAGTACATCAAGATCGATGAATAAATTGATTTAATGAAAAGACGCATGTGCCATTTTAAGTTGTATCTGCAGAGCAATGCACTCTATCTTAGGAATTTCCTTCTGTGCACTACATGAAAAGCTAGATCAATCAAATATATTCACCAATAAATTCAATACCCCTCTCCCTCACCTGATCAGGGCAAACTCCCAGACTTTTAAAATTTTGAAGATTGGTTTGTTCAAATTCCAGTCCCCTGGGTCCAAAATGCTGTTCAAATGACCCACCCAAGTGCCAGATTTGATGATGAATTTCTTTTTAGAATGGGCATCTGCTCTGACCCATCTTTTCATGAAAGCCAACTGCTCACGTAAAGCATCTCCAACTCAAAATTCCCCACCCCACACAGGCAAGGTTCAAGTTCTCCACCCACATTTATACTCTTGGGTTGAAAAGGATTCTCTGGGTATAAAATTTCTTGGCTGGTGACACAACACAATGAACTGACCATGGCCCTGGTCTGTTCGTCATGACCGAAATAGACTGTGCTATAACCACAATGTAACTGCACATGTTGATCCTTAAGGTGAGGAGAGGACAAAACCTGAACCACTGGTCCATGGACCCCCACTATGCACCCAGTTTTCCTACCCTAAAGATAATTAAGTAATAAAAATTAGGAAGAATGAATTCCCAATGATATTTTGTTGGCAATGAGAGGTGGCTGTATTCTAAGGCTACTGTTATTAGGGGTGAGAATTGCTGGTTCCTTCTGTTCAAAGATTTACACCTCCAATTTTTCTTTTGTCTAACAGAAAAGATTTACTTACAAAGATTTATTGAAGGTGAGAAAAATGTAATTGCAAGTGAAAACAACACACTGTACAATACAAAGGTATGTGAAATAAGTTAATTGTTTATTGTTGAGCACAGGAAAAATTAAATATAAAAATATATAAATTAATCTTGGAAACTAATCTTAGAAACCAACCTTGGAAACTAATTATATGTTAGGTCAAAAGCATTTTAACTCACTTTGATTTTTTTCTAAGGCGATTCTCGATGTTTAATTTTTGTTCAAATTTAAAGATAAACTCATTGACATCACATACATTAGAAAACATTTTTTGGTGGTGTAAATAATATTTAATGTGATGTAAACACTAATTAGAAACACGTTCTTTGTAATCAGAAATGTTTGCGTTTATTCTGAGTAGTTTTTCATGTTGCGATGGAGAGAAAGTGCATGTGTATTTTACATTAAAATGATAAATACCTTAAGTATAAAGTGTATAGTCACTGTGGCATTCAAGTAAGGTGTGGACAATAGAGTGTGGCTCTGTGCAATATGTACACTTGTTCTCATCACTTAATTCAAACTTACATAATTCTTTTATGGTGAAAGTAAGTCTACGCAGTAACTTGAAATCAAATTCTTGAGATCAGTTTTCTTTACATGTCTTGCTAACTGGCTTGAAATTTGATTTCCTAAGCCAAATTCTTTGTCTCGTTTCATGTGGCCACAAGTGTTACCATTCATAAAACATGGGCATGCTATGCATGCAGGAGTTATTTCTTTGGATGTGTGGGTTGAAATGGGACACTAAGTAACTGATGCTGGTGTCTGAATAATTGTCGGCAAAATAAACTGCATTGGTACCACGCTTCCTGTAGTCCCCTCTCCACGCTCTCTCTCCAACATTGCGTAACGAAGCCAACCTACGACCTGGCTATGAAAATGCTTCCTGCCGCCTCTTCGAACCACAAAGTGCTACTACGCAAGCTCAAGCATTTAGGACTGTCCGAAAGATCTTTAAGATGGTTCAGATCATATCTTGCTCATAGACAGCAAAGTGTTTTGATAAACGGCGAATTATCAGAGCCACATACCATCACACTTGGCGTGCCACAAGGCAGCATTTTGGGTCCCTTGCTATTTAACGTGTACATCAATAGCCTGCCAAATGCTGTTAAAGAGACCCGGATGATTTTGTATGCAGATGATGCTGTTCTATTTTGTGACGCATCAACACGTCAAGAACTTCAAATTGCTCTGGAACGTGAATTCACTGAAATCAGTAACTGGTACACTGATAACAGGTTGACTATAAATGTCAAGAAGACCAAATTTATGCTGGCAGGCAGTAAAAGGATGCTATCCTTATTTGAAGACTTTGAGTTGCAACCAAATGGTACACAAATCGATCGCGTGCAGTCATTCAAATATCTGGGAGTGACAACGGATGCAAAATGGAGCTGGAAGCCACATATCAGCAATTTGCTAAAGAAATTAGGTCATCGTCTTTCTTTGTTTAATCGCATATTTCATATGTTAGACAATAGAACTCGCATAGCCCTCCTCTTTTTACAGTAGTGCCACAAATTTGATCGGCGGGGTGAACCCAAGAAAAAGCACAAGCAGATGTAATGGTGGTCGACCGATAACGACCATAAGAGAATGGAGGGCGAGTATTTTCTGTTTTTGAGGAACCGAATCTCGATAAAACGGTTTACCACGTGAAAAGTACCTTTTTTCGCAGCTCGAGTTAAAAGGGGCCAAAGCGCTAAAAAAAGTGTCTGCGATTTGCCATAATCAATTTCAGTGAAAAGTTACAGAACATATTTTAAATAGGATTAAAAAAATGTGGAGTGATAGTACCAAAATGGCTCTTGAAATAAAAGGATTTAGAAATAAAAAAATCGGAGACACGTTTTTGTTTTTTGTATGTAAAACTAGCTGCTGTCAAAATTTGAGAGCAATCGAACAAATTCCCTTTGACTTGTAGCTCTTAAGTATGGGGCGCCAAATGTATTTTTATTATTTAGAGTGGTTATTTGTATATAACCAAAACAAGTATGGTTATATGTAAATAACCACATTAAAAAGTAAAGTAAAGTCTGTTTACGAGCCTAGTGGCCCATTAGGCCGGTGCTTAACTCCGGTTTCTGTAGCATGAAGCGACTAGGTGTATTCTACTCCCCTCTGGATGGGATGCCAGTCCATCGCAGGGTTACCCACCAGTATTGCAGTTTGGTTTATAAATAACCACATTGCAGTTTGGTTATTTAAAAATAACCAAAACGAGACATTGGTTATTTAGCAAATAACCAAAACATGAATGTGGTTATTTGCTAAATAACCAAAATTGCAAAGTGAATATTTGCTAAATAACCAAAACTGAAAATTAGTTATTTGTAAATAAGCAAAACTGAAAATTGGTTATTTGCTAAATGACCAAAACGGGAAATTGGTTATTTGCTAAATAACCAAAATTGAAAATTGGTTATTTAGCGCAAAATTGGCTATTTACCTAATTTGGTATGGACACAAGAGACCACAACACAATAACAAGAGTTTTTTTTCTTTGTCTGCAGCAGTCCAGGGTGTGCCAAAAATAAATTACAGGTACAATCTAGCATCAAACTCCCTAAAACTAATTTATTTACTGTCCTGAAAGGATAGTAAACATTTCGGAAGACTTCTTTCTATTTTTGAACTAGGAAATAACAACAACAAGACATTTCAACATTTCGGAAGACAACACACCGCCAGCTATCTGCCTTGAGACGTACCTGTTGTTGAGAATTTCTAAGTGCATTGAACACTGCAGCAGAAATTCTTGCCACCACGTCATCGTTGGAAGCCATATTGAGAGAGATCGACGCATACAATGCACTGTAGGAAATGAGCGGGAAAACAGGCCACGCCGTTGTTGCGTGTCCATACCAAATTAGGTAAATAACCAATTTTGCGTTAAATAACCAATTTTCAATTTTGGTTATTTAGTAAATAACCAATTTTCAGTTTTGGTTATTTACAAATAACCAATTTCCCGTTTTGGTTAATTTTCAGTTTTGGTTATTTACAAATAACTAATTTTCAGTTTTGGTTATTTAGCAAATAGCCACATTCAATAACCAAAATGCAATGCGGTTATTTACATATACATTAACCATACTTGTTTTGGTTATATACAAATAACTACTCTAAATAATAAAAATACATTTGGCGCCCCATACCTTAAAGTCCCTAAAAGTCGTACTTATCATTCTGGCCATAAACGGCCAAAATCAGTAATTCTGTTTGGGTTTTGTTGGGAACAAGGTTGAGTTTTGGCATTGAGTGTAAGTCAGGCTTGAAGTGCTGGAGAGCACTTGAGCTTGTGACAGTTTATACTTATCTTTCGAGTGAACTTAAAAATATTTATTTAAAGCACAAACCTAATACTGTGAATCACTTCTATTGTTAACGTACTGATGAAGACAACAACCGCAGGAATAGTAAAAGGTCATTTGGCTCTGATTGGTGCGACATACAAAAATGCTACGATCTGATTGGCTTGTGATACACCAGAAAAATTTCGCCAATCACATTGCTTTGAGATACACGAAAAAAAAAAAACGTACTGATGAAGACAACAACCGCGGGAACAGTAAAAGATCATTGGCTGATTGTTTAAATTCGATTAATTAATACAATTATCTTCGGTAAACATTGGCGATTGGATCTATCGGTAAATCAATATAGCGGACGAAACAATTACACTTTTCTAACAAAAATACCCTTGTGGAAGTCAGTGTCACGTACCTTTAATTTCGATCAGTCAAAAAACTTGCGTACATAAGAAAAGCTCAACTTAGGCTTTTCTTTTGTGCGTTGAAAACCTCGAAATGGACAACTCGCTAAAAAAGGTTCTTTCCATCAAAGTAAGCGGTCAGATAACAAGCTATGCGATGTGGAAGTAAGTTGAGGTATTTTTATTAAGAATTTGAGGTATGTTTTATTTCTTAGAGCGGTCGTAAATATTTCCATATAAACTCTTATAATTCTGCCATGATTGATATTGAGCAAGGTGATCTCACAGCTGGAGCTTGGGCCGCCTGTGTGTTAACAAACAATGAAAAGCACTCAACTCGGTGATTTTGCTAAAGCAGCAAAGCCTTCAATTCGAACCAATTCAATTCAATCCTTTGTACC